GACAGGGGGTGGGGTGTAAGGATTTTGTGAATTGAAATTGTGCATGAAGGAGTGTATAGGGGTGTGAATCTATGACTAAGTGTTGTGGTGGACACTGTGGCTCTTGAATGTGTTTAGTTTCATTGGGGTATTTTGATATGGCCTCATGAGCGGAGATGGATTGTGAGTATTTGTGTGGCTGGTAGTTCATCCCATGGGGTGAGTGAGATACAGAGCCCGATAGCCCAATCTACTGCATTGATCCCCTGGAATCTTCCTGCTTTCACCCAAATTGGATTGGCTTCTTTTGGATTTGGGTTACAGGATTGACTTTGACTTTGCTTGCTGTTCAATACTCCAATATTGGGAAAGCATAAAGTGTATCTGTGTGTTCTTTGTGTTTATATTTCTTAAATTGTTGCTGCTGCTGTTGTCCTTTACTAGGGCTGCGCAAAGCTTCGGGTGCTGATTTGATTCAGAGGAGATTCAGCCTGATTTGGTGACCGAATCGCTGAATCCAAACTGAATCAGGGGACCAATTAAAAAGTCCAAATCAATTTGAAGTTCACCAAATTAATTTGGAAAAGATTCAGAGATCTTCAGTGATTTTCTGGCAGTCCCCACTGGCTGTAGCAGGGAGCTGGACCCGGAATAAGTAGGGGGTGGGGGAGGGAAGGCTGGAGGACTGGGAAGGGGACCATGGGGGGGACCCTTGCTGGGGACCATGGGAGGGACCCTTGCCAGGCCCCAACCCCTGGCTGCTCCCCCAGCCCCCCTGAGAAGCCCCCAACCCACCTCTGCTATCTCAGCACCCCCCCCTCCCATGGCTGCCCTGCCTGGCCCCAGCTCCCAGTTGTTTTAAACAAAGCCCCCACTCACCAGGTGCTGCCAGGTTGGGGGTTGATCCCTGCTGCCCCCCACTGCCCTATGCTGCATGGGGGGGCTCTTCCACAAGCTCCCCAATCCCCACCCACTCTCCCAGGCCCTCCCCCATGGCTGCCCCACCTGTCTTAACTCCCAGCCCTTTGAAAAAAAACAAACAACCCCAGGCTCACTGTCTGCTGCAGTGGCCTTGGGGCTTCTGGGGGCTCATGGAAGAGCTCCCCATGCAGCATGGGGCAGTGGGGGGAAGCAGGGATCACACCCCTGTGAGCAGGAGCCAGTAAGTGGGAGTTTTTTCCCCAAAGAGATGGGGTTGAGCAGGGCAGCCACTGAGAGTGGGTGGGAGATGGTCTTGTGTGATTTGGAGATTTGGCTGATTCGGTAGCAGCCAAATCTCCAAATCAGATTCAGCTGAATCAATTTGGGACAGTGATTCAAATCACCAAATTGAATTACTGTCCCCCAAATTGGCTGAATCCAAAACAAATACTAGCCACTTCGCACAGGCCTATCCTTTACCTCTGTTAATATTCCCTATTGCCTTCTCAATAAATCTCTGTTCATATTTTAACTTTTAAATCTGATTCTCTGTGAATATATCTACACATGCCTCTTTTAAGAGGGCTTAGCCTAAAATAGCCATTTTTAAGGCACATTAAGGGCTCATGTCCACACGTGCCCATAATGCACCTTAAAAATGGCAATTTAAGTCTACGTGGCCCTAAATTTGATACCTGCATAAAGCCAAAATCTTACTTAGATTTTGATAAAGCAGGTATCCAATTTAGGTGCAAATAGCTAAGTCGCATTAGTCCACATGTAGACATGTTAATGCACTTTAACACAGTATGAGTTATATATCACACTGCATTGATAAGCATTAGTGCATGTACACATGGGCTAATGCAACTTAGCTAAGCTATTTGCATAGCTAAAGCAAAGGCACATTAAGTTTAGGTGCACGTAAATACACGTATAGACATGCTTGTGTGTATCAGTAATAGCCTTCTCAGCAAAACTCAAGGCTGGCACACTCCCTTCTCAGTGTGCTGGACAACCACACTGAGAGTGAGCCTGACACTAACCTACCATTATTGCTCACCATCACCCCAGCGGGTTCTTTTCCTAAATCTATTTGTTCCCACTACAATACCAAAGATAAAGAAATAATAGAAAGGAAACCAAGACATTAGAAATGTCTACCAAAGAACCAAATTTTGTCGTTGAGAGAAATGCAGTTTAATATACCCAGTGAAAAAGGACAGTGAAAGCAGATGGTCAGTAAAAAAGAAAAATCTGTCAAGTAATTCAGAAAAAATTAGGAGTGGTGGCAGATAGCACATTAAACATTTGCTTGCAATGCACAGTAGATATCACCTTAAGAAATCCTTGTCTCTTTCATATGCAGGTATTGTTGTATCATGGAATGGAAAGGTAATGAACTATTTATATACAGCTCAGTTATGACTGCAATGCCACAAGTAACTGGACAAATAGTTGCCTGTGAATACAGGGACAAGACTCAGTGGCTCAAGAGGTCCCTTTCAGTCCTCCACAAGGCCCTGAATATGGACTTATCACTTGGCCAGAAGAGGTTGCTCTTGTTTGTCCTTCAAATTCAAAAATGAATGTGACATCACAGGTTGGTTTAGTTTCTGTGGACATATGAATGGCTGATCAGGCCAATTTGTGCTTTGGACTGTCTATTGCACACTGAGCAAGAAATGCTGCTTTGGGTTGCTTAGAGGTTACTATGTACATATACAAGCACACACATGCACATACAAGAACAAAGGGTTCTAGGAAGCCCACCAAAGGTATCTCTATGCAGGTTTAAAATAGCTTTGCCCATGTTAAGTACATTAGTTGGTGTTATGTTTGACAGACTGTTTAGACCACGTGTCCTACCTGTAGAAATCCTGACCCATAGAAATGACACAAAACATTTTAATTTTTTAACTTTGTTTATTAATTTCCATTCCTGTAACCGTACACAGACAACCATATTATTCAAGGTCAAACATAAAGGCCAGGAAATATACCACAAGCTTGGTACAGAAACAGAACATTGAGAGGTGTCCTAAAATGAGAGGAAAATAGCATGAAGGTAAAATAAAAGTATGAAAAAAAAATAGGCATCATCACTATAAATGTGATCTGGGAACTTTTTGTATCCTAGCACTAAAGACAGACCCTGTACAACTGTGACTATACAGGCAACCCCCACTTAATGCTGTTTCGCTTAGCGCTATTTTACTATAACGCTCATTCTAAATTGATACCTGATTTCACTTAGTGCTCAGTGAGTTTCCTTTTAACACTCATGGTTGCCATCTTGGGTCATTAAAAACAACTGTGGTCACCATCTTGGGTCATCAAATACTTTTGGTTTTGCGTAACACTCCTTTTGCTTAATGCTTGGTTTTTCAGGAACCAATTAAGAGTGCTAAGCAGGGGTTGCCTGTATTAAGTACAAAGCAGGCATGGAGCTGAGTGCAAATATTTTAAGGTATAGTTTGGGATCATAAAGTGCTTGCACCTCAAGACCCTGTGATTCTAAATAAGCAGTTATGTAAAGGGTAGTGTAAGTTACAGCTAAGGATAATGGTTGGATGCTACAAATACCTACTGCTAACGTGGTGTTTGCTACTGTGAGTGATTCCACTGGGGCAGATACATTCGTCCCTGGCACAGAAACAAAGGGACAATGTTTCTCCTGTTTGCATGGAGCCAACTTGGGTGTTAGCATGGGCTAGAATAGCTGCCTGGCTGACCCAAGTAGCATTGTTGTTCAATGATTTAGTGGGGCACTTCAGGAGTGTTGAATTGCTAGGACAGATCTGTCAACACTCCTGAAGTGGCCCATTCTATTTTTTAAGAGGAGGTTAGATGTACACCTTACTGGGGTCGTTTGACCCCAATACTCTTTCCTGCCGTGGCAGGGGGTCGGACTAAATGATCTGCTCAGGTCCCTTCCGACCCTAGAAACTATGAAACTATGAAACTATTATGGGGAACTTGGTCATACCTTCTCTTGTCTGACCCAGTTCTCCAGTCTCCCCTGGAATGCCCCTGGACTTCAGGCTCCTACCGAGGTAGTATACTGGCCCTGTGTCTTGGTGCTAATCAGTAGGACAGTGGTTCTCAGCCTTTCTAGATTGAAGACACCCCTTGGAATATACCAGCTCTCAGTTTTCACTTCTTTTTTTGACTGAAAAAAAGAATAGAGCAAATCTTTTGCTACACAGAACTCAGAAAGACCACAGAAGGGAAGAATCTTTCAGTTTATCTTGTGAATTATGTTTCAAAACCTAACAGTATTAAATTGTTTGGCACCCTGTGGCAACCTTAAAAAATCTCAAGGCACCCCAGGGTACTTGGCACCGTGCTGGGTATCACTGCACTAGGGAAATCATAGACCTTCCTTATAGAAATGCAGAGTGGAAGTGATCTGAAGTTATCACCTGGCTCAATCCTCTACATTGAGGAAGGATCAAATATACCTGGATTATTGCTGATGGCTGTTTGTCTAATTTTTTCTTTAAAACTTCCCATGAAAAAAATTACACAACATCACAAGGTAGCCTGTTCCAGTGTGGCCCCACCTTTGCAACAGCCTAACTAGCATAACAGGGCCATACTGGGCCATGGATCAGCAGTGGGTGACAAACAATAGTAAGCATTACACTTACTAACACAAATTTACTAGTCTGAACTGTAAATTGGCAAAGAAATAGATGCAAGTGGTAAAACAGTGCAACTTGTACTGATTTGCCAGTCAATGTATATGCAAAAAAGTTTGCTTTACATAGGGTAGAGATGGATGGGAGAAAGAAGCAGATATAATTTAGTCATCTCCATGCCTGTTTCTGCTCTTCAGCTCTTGAAAAATGGTTCTTTGCTGTCTAACAAAGAATCTTTCCTTTTACACATTTATTGAGTCCTGCCTAAACTCAACCTTTTTTTTTTTTTTTTAATACGAGCCCAGACTAATATGCCATGATTGTATCTTCCAATCACTTAAACAAAGAAAGTCTCAGCTAATAAAGAAAACATGCAGCATCACAGGGGGAAATGTGAGAGTCCTCCAAAGCCAACTCCATACTGATCAGGTCATAATGTTTATTTAATAATGGTTGTAATCAGGCATAGTTAATATCCAGAAGCAGAGTAACTAGTCATCGTTTGGTGTCATGATTTTCCCCAAAAAGAGTACACTGTCTTTATACTGTATAATAAACAGGAATGGTCTGTTGAGTTCCATGGTAGAAGGAGCAGCCATTGGCACTATTTCCACGGCAGTACCTGCTGCAGCTTCAGTACCAGACTCGTGCACTTTCACCATGGCCTTGTGAATAGCCTACAAGGAAATAAATAAATATTAATGTTCTGGGAGTTCGAAGCAGCTCGCTGAAAATGAACTTCACTTCCTTGGATCTAGAGGTGCTGATAGAAACAACTGATTAGGAATGGGAAGTAGACAAACAAGTGTGATTGAAAAGCACAAAGCAAAAATGTATTTATATTATTTTGACAACTGATAACTCAGCTGGGTGGGGGGGAGAAATCAATAATCTATATGCAGCAAGGGAAGAAGAAATTTTTATCTCTATTCCAGAGGCATAGTATTACTAGCATGAACACTGACCTTGTTCTCTCTATTACTTATATAAGTGTGAATCAGGACTAGTCCACACTGTGTGTGTGCACATGTGTGTGTGCACATGTGTGTGTGCGGAATGCTCAGGAAGTACCCACATCTCTTGAAAAAAGAAGAGATTTTAAATTGTTTAGAAGGAAAAAAATGCCTAATATTTTAAAACAGTGGGTCCCATCATTTAAGAACTATGTACCTGTAATCTCCTATTGCCTTCTTTCCAAGCCATTATAGTTCAACTTTAGTTAAGTCCATAAGGATCATCAGTCTGAGAACTTTACAATTACACATGCCCTATACCTATAGGGTAAATTGTATTGGTTAATAATGATTGCAGAACAACCCCCTTAACCAGCAGGCAGAATTGTATAAATGGAGGCTTGTGTGTATGTGAAGGAGCATGATTGTTGTACAAGAGGATTTTTTTTTAAACCACTGGACATTTCCTTGACCATCATGGTTGCAACAACACTCCAACCTGGTTGGTGGTTAGGGTACTCATTTGTGGAGGAGCAAGTGAGAGGAGAAGCAGAGCCTGAGACTTTCACAGGAATGACTGTTTAATTTAAAATACAGAATCAGTCCTTGCAACAGGACTCCCTCTATCATGGATGCCTGGAGTTCTAAGCTACAGATGCCTTGTTTGTGCTTTCTCTTAGGCCCAAAGAATCTTGAAATCATTGCTGTATAATGGCATCAAAAGGTGTGGAAAGTGTGTCCATCCAGCCTAACCTATAGACTAGTGCAGTGGTTTTCAAGGTTTTTTAATTTGCAGACCCCCAAAAAATCACTGAAGCACCCTCACGTCCCAGACAGTGGCATCAGCATGTGTGGTGCTGCAGAGTTTATTCATGTACTCCAGCCTAATAGCCCTGCATGTGTAGATGCTGAGGCGTTTACTGGAGAGTTAATTAATCTATTCCACAGTAAATCTCTTGTACAGATGCACCCAGTGAGATGGTGAAGACGTTGCGTAGCATGGGCCTGTACAACAGAGAAACCTTCTGGGCCAAAACACTGTACTGCTGTAATTTGATACAACTGAACAGCATAAGCAGCATAACTAGTTTTAGATGAGTATTACACCTCATCACCCACTTTTTACCAATGGTGAAGACCTTTTAAATGGGTTTCACCTCAGAAACATTGTAAAGGAATGCTTTTAAACATAAAACATTAAACTGAAAGAAACATAATTTACCTCTGAAACCCTGTGCTTGGGTGTCCCAGTTATTCCAGACAGGTCAGCTTTATCAGTGAATAAATCAATGATGCCCATTCTATTAAGCAAGCCTTTTAGCTCATACTTCTCAGAAAGGTTGAATTTTGGAAGATACAGTTCCACTGGCCTGTCCAAAGAGGAATGCAAGAAAAGTATTAAACATTTCAATCCAATATCAGAGTGCTCCGCAGGCTCAGTAGGGACAAGTTCTTGTTCTCATTGGCTGTGTCTACCCATATGGTTTACCACAGAGTAAACTAATTAGCTGTGGAGTGAAGCATCACTGTCTATATATGCAGTGGTATTAGGCCACAGTAAACTAATTATTTTACTGTTGGGAACAGTAGGGTAATTAACTGTGATTAAAAGAACATGTAGATATTGATCGTCAGTGTAAATTGTGCCCAGTCAGCCCAGCTAGCAGGGGCCCAGACTCCTGCCTGCCACTAGCCACACAGATCTGCACTTTTAGCACTCTTGTGCCCCAGCCAGCCCCTCTGCTGCCCAAGGCCACTACCCAGAGCCCAGGGCCCAGCAGTCCTGGCATAAATTGCTCTGCCCTGGCTCAAATAGCTTCTGTCTTGGGTGACTGCACCTGGGAGTAGTTTACTTTGACTCAAACTGCTCCAGAGTTTATTGCTTTGGATTAATTGCATGTGTAGACACACCCACTGTTCCACATAGTGGGCATGTCTACACAAGACATTTACTACAGAGCTGAATAATTAATTTAGCAATAACCACATTGGTGTTTATATGTGCACCCCTATTAGGATGCAGGAAACTAATAAACTCCAAAGCAAGGTAGTAGTTCTTGTAAACAGAAGTACTACTTTGCTGTGGAGTTTTTTTCATGTGCAACAGTGCACAAGTAGACACTGACCTGGCTCACTGGGCATGAGGGTGCTTTAGTGCAGGGGCTGTCTGCTAGGGCTGTGCAAAATTTTACCTGGTATTTTGTTTTGAAGCTGTTCTGATGCATTTTGAGTGCGAAACAGCAAAACTGACCTGAAACAAAAGCCTTTGAAACAGCTTCAAAATGAAAGAAGGGAACTTGAAATGTTTCGAAAGTTTTGAAACATTTGCGTTTCAACACTAGGCTTACTTGCTTCAGTGCCGGTCCCAGCCGGCAGCACCTGCCTCCTGTCTTCTGGCAGGCAGATCGGAGGCTTCCCACACCTCCAGGAGGGCTGTGGGGGCTGTGCTGAAGTCCTCCCGGGGGTGCAAGCCCCCCAATCTGCCTGCCAGAAAGCAGGCCACACCCAGCGCTGGGAAGATCAATGCTGCCATGCCAGAGCTGGCTCGAGGAGGGTGTGGGGCCTGGGGCAGATCAGCTCATGCAGGGACCCTCCCCCGCTCTGGGATCAGGGCATCGGGTCCCCGCATGAGCTGATCTGCACCGACCCCACTGGCCCCAGGGGGCAGCACCTGGCTCCTGTCAGCCAGCAGGCAGATTAGGGGCCTGCCAGCACCCCCAGGAGGGCTGCAGGGGCTGTGCTGGAGTCCTCCTGAGGGTTCATGCCCTCAATCTGCTTTCTGGGTGACAGGAGCTGGGTGCTTCCAGCTGAGGCCAGCAGCAGCACCAATCTTCCCAAAGTCAGTCCCAGGCAGCAGCACCCAGCTTCTCTCATCTGTCAGGCAGATCAGGTGCTTGTACCCCTGGGAGGAGTCCAGCACAGCCCCTGCAGCCCTCCCAGGGGTGCAGGCAAGCCCCTGATCTGCCTGCAAAATGAGAGAAACTGGGTGCTGCTGCCTGGGACTGGTGGCAGCACTGATCTTCCTGGTGCCAGTCCTAGGTGGCAGCACCCAGTTTCTCTCATTTGGCAGGCAGATTGGGGGCTCATACCCCCATTAGGGCTCTGGCACGGCCCCTGCAACCCTTCCAGGGGTGCGGGCAAGCCCCCAGTCTACCTGCCTGCTGCATGTTATGTTTCCCCATAATAACCTATGGGTGAAACATCGAAACAGCAAAACAATTTCAATGAAATGAAATGAAACAGTGCTTTCTAAATGAAATGAAACTTGAAATGAAACACTGTTCCATTGAATCATCAAAACAGAAGTTGAATTGGAACGGTGCTGTTTTGCACAGCCCTACTGTCTGCCTGCCAACCCAGCTCTGAAGCAGCCTTCTGCCCCAGCCAGGCCCTCCGCAACACATTGAGCCCAGTCAGAGCATCCCCAGGCTTGGCAGGTTGACCCCCCAGGCCCCAAGCCACCCAGGGCTGCCTCGACCTGGCTCAATGTGCTGTGGTCCAGACATACGTGTAAACAGCACACCTAGGAGATTCCCAGGAGCAGGAAACTCTGGAGTTTATTTCTGCTTATTAGTGGCACACGTAGATACACCCACTAGATTTAAGACCTATGACAGAGATTTCATCTGATATTAATTTTTCAGAACAGGAAGTTCAGAGTAAATGACCTTGGAAGTGTTAAGAAAGAATGGAAGAGAAGGTAAGAGGTTAGCTTAAAACTCGGGAGCCTTACATTCAGACCTTTTGTTCTGCCACACATTTTTTGTGTGATTGCAGACAAGTTGCTTAGGGTAGGTCAGTATAGCTGTGAATACAAGCAGACCACTGCCACCAATAAATAAACTCCAGAGTGCAAGAACACATACTTTTGGCCAGCCCAAACTACTCCAGCCCACCCCTGAGCCATCTATACCTCTTAACTTGCAATTTTGGGAATATGCAGAGTAGGCAGGAGAGGGTGGAATTTATTTCCTGACATTGCTTTGAGGCTCACTCAGAGGCCAAACAGCTTTACCCTTAGTTTCTCTGTGCCTCATCTCCCTACCTGTAGAAAGGGCATTACAGATGTTCCCTATCATACAAGGATGATGGGGCAAAGGCTATGAGGTGCTTAAAAAAGACAGTTTTCCTTAAGAACAGCTTCTAAGCATATTTCTAAGTAATGTGGGACTGAAACTGTGCTCCTGTGACCTCTTGGTTACTCCACCATTCAGTCTTTTTCTCTGCCCTGTCCTTTGGCAGCCCATCCAAGCAGAGATTTCTTATCTCCCCCTCCTCCTAATCTGGTGCAATAATGTCAAAGCACTGAAAATGGACAATTTTGGGAAAAAGAAAGCAAACCCAGAACAGGC